GTACCTCATACCTTATGTACATTATATATAATCTTTAACTCTATGAGACAAATGCTATTATGTTCATTCTCAAATAAGGCAGCCGAAGCCCAGAATATTCAAATAGCTTCCCTGAAGTCAAGTTGCCAGTGCTGTGGTCATGCTCGGCTGTAGCTCCAGGTCAGCCTGGCTCTGGTGTCTTTGCCGAGGATGACAGCATCTCTCCATTTCTCTGTTTAAATACTGCACACTCCCCATATGGTTCCTTTGGTTTCAGGCGGTATCCCATCTGAGTCATACTTGGCTAATTTATAGTCATAAAATCATACAAGAGATCACTGTTGCATAACAACAAGCAGCCCCTTTGATTCTACATTTGCAGACTCTTGAATCACTGAGACATGTTTTAGAACTTAATAAAGAATAGATCAAAAAGATTTGGTGTACTGAAGGTGCCAGTGAACTGTGCCACCAGTGAGTGCCCTGGTATCCCTGGGAAATGGGAGAAGAGTCTGTAGCTTACTTAATTATGTCTTTCCGGCTGTAAGCCCTGGGCATCAGGAGCAGGTGGGCTTCCAAGCTACTTAGAAGTTACCCGATGCTTCATGTATGGGATGCCACCTGTGCATTTCTGTTTTAAAATGATGGGTAGTAGTGTCTGTATATATAATTTAAAAGAAATTAACATTCTGATTTTGCCTGAGATGATGTTTGTGTACTGGTTTGATTAGAGGAAAGAATGAGGATTTCAGGAAAGCAAGTGTGAGAGAGGCATTTTACAGCATTTCAAAATTCAATGTTCTCAGTATAAATCTCCTTCTGTTAAAGGTAGATGGGTGGAGAGTTGGATAGGTAGGTAGGAACATAGATGAGTAGATAAGAAGGAAGAGAAAGAGGGATATAGGAAAGGCTAACAGTTTACATTAGGGTGGTGGGATTTTAGATGCTATTATTGTGGTCCATATTCATCTTTCTTTTCTAATTTTTTTTTTTTAATAACTAATGCGAGTGTAAAGCAGGAAGTGGCCTGAAATAAGCCTGGAGAGGTAGACAGGGACCAAGTCATGGACTGTGTGTTACTGTTCCTCAATATATATTTCCATTTGTCTCCTACATGGAGGGTTGCGTTTTCTTGAAGTTAGTCATAGCCACGTTGGTTTCTCTGTCACTGAAATGTGAGCAGAAGTGACGTTTGCCACTGCCAAATGGAAGAATTTGAAACCTCACGTGCAACTTGCAGCATTCTCTTCCACGTGCTGTGGAAGCTGGTGATGTTATAGGTGGTGGAGGCCCCATTGACCTGGGCCCCTGGCTAATTACAACAAGTATGAGTCCACCAACCTGGGATGGGACTGGAGTGTGAGTGCTTAATAATCCTGGGTTGTTTTAAGACATGGAAATTTGGGAGTCGTTCATTACTGAAGCACATCCTGCTTGATACATAGGATCTTGTGAGCCATGCTTAGGAATTTGGACCACATCCTCTTGGCCATTCTGAGGTACAAAAGGGGTTTTGTTTATTTGTTTTGCCAATCCAGAGAGCAGGCTCTGGCCAAATAAGGCCTAAACCTGTCACATTCCAGACAGCATTTGCTAATTCTAACACCTCTTGATGAATGTCATGGTTTCCTTGGCAGTGATAGAATAGTTTTATGTCTTGAATGTGATGGTGGTTATATGAATCTATACGCATGATAAAATGTCATAGAATTGTGCATAAAGATACATCAAAGAAAAGAAAAGGGATGCATCCCAAAACTGGTGAAATCTCAGTAATGGCTGTGGTCTAATAAATTGTTTTGTGCCAATGTCGATTTTTGGGTTTTGCCAATATACTATGGATATGTAAGATGTCAACATTGGGGAAGCTGGGTGATGGATCTGTGAATGTTCTCTGTACCATTCTGGCCACTTCTTGTGAGTCTACAATTAGTTACAAATACAAGTTAACAACAACAAGAAATTCATGAGTAGAACCAAGAAAATGAATTATGGTGAGTTGTAGATTTACTGCCAGACATGGCAGGAAGTCTCACATTGGCAGATCAGGTCTCTTGTCCTCACCCAACAATCGACAGTTTAGCCCTCGAAAATGGATTCCGTTAGCAATCTGTCAACCGCGACATTCCCATTTAGAGCACGTTCCACTACAGACATTTCTATAAAGCTGCAAAGTTTGTCAGACAATTGAAAGTGGAAACCTCCCAACACACACATGAATACATACATACACCCTCATTCTAAAAGGTACATTTTTCCTCCCCTGGACTTACTATATTGCATGCAGTTTTTATGTATTTCTAAGGGTCAGTAGAAGAAACAGGAAACCTGATACCTAGGGGAGGAGAATTACCTGAATAATAGTGTGTGGACTGGAATCACTATCCCCAGGAGCCTAGTAACCCACAGCTTGTGGATTAGTCTGTTGAACTACTTGATGGCTTGTGACCTCTCGTCCCCTTAGAGGTGTATGTTCTGATTTTGCTCTTATTGGTAGTGGCAGCTGTGTGCTTTATTTTGAAGTGAAGGAGGAGAACCAAAGGAAACGTACCAATTGTAAGTCACATATATAGAAGAATATATGGGCTACTTGGCCACGCTATTATTTTTTTTGAAATATTGCTTTGGGGTCACCATCTGGGAATGTTCTCCCTGTTTTATCGGGGGTGGTTAGGTACAAGCATCTTTATAATATGTAGCCTGCATACCTCTCATGGTTTCTGGTGGGGGCCTGGGTAAGAGGCACAATCTCTTTACTACCACCTCCTCTTGTGATGCATTCACATTTCTGTAAGAATCTGTGTGTGGCAGTGAGTGTCATGTCCGAGTGAAGTAGGGTGGGGACCAGAGGAGGTAGGTTGAGGGTGGAAGGCCACTTTATTTGCTAACTCTGAACGTCAAACTAAGTAGTGAAATGTTTATGAGGCATGAGAATCTCTGCAGTCCAGAGAGGTTTTTGACCATCAGATAAACGTCAGTTACTCAGACAGAACGCGTGTTGGGTTCTGCGCCTCACTCTACACGGGGCATGTCCTCACTCCGTGCTTTCACTCCTCTTGCTGGCTGTTTTCTTCCTATAGGATGAGGGGTGTGGCGTCACCTAACAGCACACCCTCCAGCTCTGTCATTCCCTGGTCTTAGGAAACTCACAAAATCCGTGGTTGGCGTGTTTTCCTTTCCCTGCATCAGGTTAATGCTTCTCCTCATCCTTCCAAAATCTGCACATTTGAGCATCTGCCGTTGTTATACAAGACTAGGAATTTAAATCTACATTGGCCAGTAGTGCCTTTACCACGGGTAATGCTGTTACGGTTTGGAGAAATAATTTAATCACTTTATACCACCTTTCCTTAAAATCGGGCTTTGTTAGTAGGTATGATGGGGATTCTCCAGGATCTAACAGTCAGTGATCTGGTCTGATGTGGTCTTCAGGGAGGATCTCTGGACAGGATTAATGTCAGTCTATCCACCACGTGGATCTGTAGCCCACACAAACTACCATTTATCGCCGAGCACCATCAGAGCAAGGATTTGGCACAATAGACGTCTATTCTTCTAGTTAAATTTATTAAATATCTTCTCTCTTCCAGACAGGATGTTAGGTGCTTGACACTTACCCTCACAACCCTGGGAGTAGATCATTAATATTCATCTTTTACAAATGAGGAGACAGAGGCTTAGCCATGTTAAATGGCCCAAAGTCAGTGTGTTTTCCAGCTGCCACTGCCTGACGTTTATTGTCCAAAGTTTAGGATTTGTGTTAGAGCCCAAGACTTAGATGGCCAAGTTAAACCAGCCACAGATACACTGAACCACTCAGCACAGCTCCTGTCTTTCCCTGAATGAGAGAATTTGGGTGGAGGATGTTCTCAGCGGTGCCATTTGTGTCCTCCTTCATAGCATCCAGATAGTATCATGTTATTCTCTTTAGTCTTACTTAAGTATCACAGTCTAGACTAGAATTCCCAAGTCAACTGTTTGTTTTATGGGACTCTTCTTACCTAAACAGGCAGGTGGCCCCAGCATTCTTGGCTTTATGTCCTTTGGAGGAGCTAGGTCTAAGTAGTGATAGTATTTAATCTCCCACTCGGAAGTCCATCCAGACTTAAAAGTTGGGAGGGCCCTACAAGCACAGGACAAGTTGGAAGGACAACCCTGAGATTTATTCTTCCAGAATTATGCCACAAGGACCGTGTCTAGTGGAACATGATTGCTTCAAATCCTGAGCTCTCCAGTCTTGGTTTCTTGCCAGGAGGGAACTTGGGCTTTGACCTCAGACTGACTTGGGGTCCTTTCTTGCCCCCAGCTTCTTAGTTCTGTGATCTCTTGTAAGATCACAAGAAAACATTGCTTGTCTTTTAGTTGTTGTGAGCATTAAATGAAATGGTGTCTGTAAATGCCCAGCCCAGGGCAGGCTCTGAATATACGGTAGCCATTGTTAACAGTATTATTATTATTATTAGCAGTATGTGCCCCACCTGTCTATAGAGTTTTTTTGGTTACTAAGCCAGGGTTCTCTTTGGGATCTAGGTCCATTAAAGTCCATTGGTAAAAATGAGTCTTGCCTGCTTTTCTACTTTCTATAAATGAATTACCTTTAATTTCTTATGGAGCCTTAGCAGAAACATTTCAGAACCTGGATGGCAGCTTTTGAGATTAAAATGTCGTCCACTGTGTCTTTGCATGAGCCAGGCTTTGTCCTGGTGTTATAGCCTTTTAGGACGCAGATTGAGAGGAGATAACGTGAGCTTGAAGACCCTTTGGTGCCTCTTCTGTGTACTGAGCAAAACCCAGCACAACCGTCAGCCTGCGGGTTTAGCAGAATCCCAGCCTCACATCCTCCCCGAAATTGGCAGTAAAAGCCTTGTCCTTCCATTCATTCCAATGATTTATATTCTCTCTGGGCGTCTAATATTAAACAGGGGAATTTCGACATATTCCATAACACATTTACTGTAACTTGATACCATGAACTAAACTTGCTGTTATTTATCATTTCTTTTTATTTTCTTTCATTCCAGCATAAAGCCAAGGTAGAAGCAATGACCCTGGACCTCGCTCTGCTCCGTAGCGTGCAGCATTTTGCTGAAGCGTTCAAGGCCAAGAATGTGTGAGTGTTCCAGAGGAGGGTTATAGATCATAATTTCTTGCTGTTGTAATGTCTTTATCAGATGAACACAACTGGGAGATCGCAAGGCTGTTGTGTTGTCTTGGCGTCCAAACGAGAGGCTCATTTCCATTGGCCCTGTTAAGGTGAACCATGTTTTCTTGACTCTTAGTCACCCTCATTATGAGATGTGTCATCAATCTAATAACAGCTTCCCAGATAAAAAAAGAAAAGATACTATTAAAGCACTAGTAAAAGGGGCTAATAAAAGCCAGGCAATTGTAAGATGTATCCTGATTACAGACATTTTTGCAGTACCTCTCAGAACCAAGGAAAAGTATATTTTAATTGCATTCGGGGACAAATAAACTCAGTTATCCATTGCAACAGGGAGGCAGAGAATCTGAGCCTGAGAGAGATCTCCTGTTTTCAAAGGCTTTGGTGATCTGATGTGGGGCATGGATATGGCTCCAAAAACATGGACTCAGTTAATGAAAAACTTACTTCTTTTTTTTTCATTCTTTTTCAGTATTTCAGACTTTCTGAAGGAGAAAGCCTACATGCTACCATCCCTTTCTAACAGAGAGAGGAGAGAGACAGAGAGAGAGGCCCTGGGGGTGGAGGGGAGTGGGGTGCTCAAGTCCCAAACTAAGGAAAGCAATCGTGGCTAGCTAGCTACATTATAATTACAATATTTTGTTTCCAAGTATTTATTTTTACTCCTATTTAGGGTGAGCAATCCTGGTTCCTCATTTAACATAGTGGTTTAAATTTCATTAACAAATAACTTCATTTACTTTTTTTCAGTGAGTTGATTCAAACATGAAGATTAAGTTAATAACAGCACAGGTGGTGCCAAGGATAAGGTAATTACACAACTGGCACCAGAACCACATTTGGAGAACTCTGATAAATGACAAGCTGCCTTTGGATCAGGCTCTGTTGAAGACATTAGTTTTACTGTTCTCCAAGCAGATAAAGAATGTGAAGGAAGGAATCTTAAACCAAATATTCAGATAGAACTGTGTGGCGCTGACCCCACTAATCTGTCCAGTCTCCAGTTCTTCTCGTGTCTCCCTTAGTTTCTAACTCTGCTTTTCTAGACGGCTAAAATGTGTGCTCTTTAAGGCTGTTTCTGGAGCAAGCAAGTGGCCCGAGTCCTTGAGGTCTGTGGGCGGAGTCAGTCTTTAGTGAGAGTTCTACTGTCCCCTAAGTGCTGGCTCTGGGCTCACAGTTAGATAACACCCCCCAGCAGCTAGCAGATGTGAGTGAGCCTTACTGCATGCCCTTTACAGAGCTTGGTGATTGGTAGCTGCAGTCCCTTGCCAGAGCTCTCGGAGAACCTCAAGTCAGGATGCAACAGTGGCTTTCAAGACATTTGTTCAGAGATTCCTTGATCATTCATTTATCCACTTGTTCATGCACTTAACACGCACTTAATGAGTGTTCCCAAAGCCCCAGGCATTCTTCTGGGCTCTGGGACGAGAGTGGTGGCCTTGGAAGCAAAGTTAACCTCAGACCAGCGATCATCTCAGTTGTCAGCAAGCAGTGTTTTGTTACTAATGGCTGACTCCTCAACCTCATATGTCTGTGACTGTTTGGGAGAGAAGCATAATGACAATAACAACAGCAGAGGTAGCAGCTCATCCATCCAGGGCTGATTAGGGGCCACACACTGAGAATATTTTGCATGCATTTTCTCATTTCATTCTCAAAGCAATCCTTTGGGGTAGGTGCTATTATCGTCTGTGTTATACAGATGAGGAAAGTGAGGCCAGAGAAGATAAGTCATTTATTTATCCAGGGCACGCAGTCATTAGAGGGCTGAGTTAGGCTCTCCAGGACTCCTACTTAACCACCACACTGTCTTTCATTTTAAATGTGAGAGAAACTGACACATTCAGTGAATGAGAGTGACTTTAGCAGGGTCGCTTTGCAGGTTGGTGGCAAACATAGACGTCAGTCCGGTTATGACTCTCGCTCCCTCCCTGTTACCATGCGAGATCTTATATTCATTGTCGCCAGATGGCTTTCTCTCCCCAATTCGAGTGTCAGAAAGCTCTAGAAGTGAGCGGCTCTGCTGAGGAAAGCCAACTGTTACATAATAGGATCATCTTCCACGTCTTAACTGGACCATTAGTTTTTAACCATTAAGTAGTTCAGAAATCATCAAATTCAAGTGCCTTTTGCAATCACCAAGCTCAAACCCTTGGAGGAAACTATCACCCAGTTTGCCCTAATCCTAGATTTTAGCACAGGCCTTTGAGTTTGTATACATCTAAGTTCAGAAACAAGGGCGATTTTCCTTTTAGAACACTCTGTAGCACAAACCTCTTTGTATGTGTCCCCTGAGACTGCAGGATTTTACACGGCTTAGAGAAATATTGTGGCAAAAATATGCATAAAAAAGCAAGCGATTTTACTTTTGAAAGACTGCCAGAGTGAAATCTCTCATGGATAGGCAGATGACAGTTTAGTACTTACAGGTCTTTAGATTCTGAGAACTGTCAGAAGTGAATTTAAGTGCTGGTGACTGGGCTGCCAGAGAAACACATGTAACTCTATTCTTATCATCACCCCCATCTTCCGACATTAACATTTCCTTGTGTGTAAAACATAATGACAAATGAAAGAGAGGCTGCCAGTTCAGAACCAATCTCTTTCATGCTGTTGCATGGAGGGGAGGAAAACTCTCTACGTTTAAATTCTGTGTGGACGCCCCCATTTAATATGCCATTCCAGAGCCTGTATACGAGCAAGCCAAGCATATTATCAGGCTTCATTTTTCCCGTGCGTATCCCCTCGGTTCATGCTCCAGCACAAGTATGTTTCCCTGCGCTGGGATATGCATTGCACAGTGTAGCCTCAGACCAAAAAAGGTAGAAACAGATGCTCAGTGCAACACTGGTGGGAAATGCAGCTCATTATGCTGTGCGACCACATTCCAGCTGCCTTCTATCGGGAGATGTGGAGTCAGCCTCTTGCTGGATACTGTCTTCTTTTTCTGGGGGGCTTTTTGGGGGATGAGGAGGCTAATTTATTTATTGTTGTTGTTGTCATTGTTGTTTGAGACAGAGTCTTGCTCTGCTGCCCTGGGTAGAATGCAGTGGCATCATAGCTCACAGCAACCTCAAACTCCTGGGCTCAAGCGATCCTTCTGCCTCAGGCTCCCGAGTAGCTGGGACTACAGGCAAGCACTATCACGCCTGGCTACTTTTTCTATTTTTAGTAGAGATGGGATCTCACTCTTGCTCAGACTGATCTCTAACTCCTGAGCTCAAGCAATCCTCCAGCCTCAGCCTCCCAGAGTGCTAGGATTACGGGCATGAGCCACCATGCCCAGCCAAGGAGGCTAATTTAGAATGAGCACTGCCAATCATGATTATGTAAACAATAGCTGCTAGCCATCTTTTTGTTTATTCTGTGCAAGGCAATGTGCTAAGCACTTATATAATACATGTATTCTCTCTTTCCTTTCTTACAATAACCCTGGACATTAGCCATGATTATCTCTATTTTACAAATTAAAAGGTTGAAGCAAAGAGCGCCTAAGTCACTTTTCCAAGTTTAGCAAGTGGTTGATCCAGAATTTGATCCCAAATCTGTCTGAATCCAAAATGACTCCTCTTTATCTTGCTTCTCTGTCTTCAGTTATATATTTTTCCGTATGGATTTCTGTATCAGTTATGTATTGCTGAGTAACAAATTACCCCAAAATTGGTGGCTTAGAACACAACAAACATTTCTATTCTCTCTCCCCCTCCTCCCTCCTTTCTTCTCTTCCTCCCTCTTTCTCTCACAGTTTGTTTGAATCAGGATTCAAATAAGGTCAATGCATTTTTTAAAAATTCTTTTTTAAAGACAGGGTCTCGCTATGTTACCCAGACTAGTCTCGAAGTTCTGGGCTGAAGTGATCCTCTTTCCTGAGTCTCCCGGGTAGCTGGGATTATAGGCGTGTACCACTGTGCCCAGCTAATACATTTTAATTCATGGATGTTCCCTCAATGCTTTTTTTTTTTCCTTTAAAACCTTTCATTTTTAAATGCAACTTATTTGTTTAAGGGACCAGGTTGTCCTCTAGAGATTGCTGTAGTCTCTACTTTGATGATGGCATCCCTGGGGTGTCATTTAACATAATCTTTTGTTTCTCAAGTTTCCTGTGAAAGGGTAGCTAGCTCAAGAGACTCCATCAACTTCATGTTTGATGTCTTGGATAGAGTACTTCCTAGGTGGTGGTGGTGTCTCCCCGCAAGGGGACACATGGGCCTGGTTGCTAAAGCCTGTTTTCTTAAGGCTCAGCACATCCTGACCTCCTCCCTCCCTTTCCCCCTCTCCCCTTGTTTTCCCATTCCCATTTTCATTCATCTATCCAGTTATTCTTCACTTCTCTTCTGGGTGGTCAGCCCTGGGAGCCTCAGCCTGCTCCCAGATAGTTCTCCCCAGACTTAGCGGTGGCGGTGGTCCTCAGCCAGTGTGGCTCAGGTCAAATTATTTTGGGCATTACTGGAAAGTTCCAAACCAAACCAAAGCCTGTGGCAAGTCCCACCCAAACTGAGTTTTGAAGGATATTTTTGTTTCAACTGCAGTCCTGGAGTGGAGCCAGACTCCACACTGCCTGGCAGGCAGAGGCATCCATCAGAGCACAAAGAGCCGGGACCCTTTCTAATCAATCACACCAAATACTGGGATTTTCTGTAATGGACTCGGAAGCAGCAGTATGTTTTTTGTGATGCTTTTGCACATTTTCGTTTCCCGTTGTAGCTGCTTAGTTTACTGAAAAGTATACATTTTGAACAGGGTCTAGGAGATTTCAACAGCTCCTGGAACTAGGGGCCCCGTAATACATTTTCCTTCTTCAAAAAATGCTTTCTAGTTCAAGTTCCACATGTCCCTGACAAAACAGATGCCTGGATTCCAATCCTAGAATTTAAAAGGTGGTGATGGCACGTAATATAGGACATTCACTGCTTAGATTCCACTTACCAGTCAGCTCTTATAATGTT